CCCCGCCGCGGCGGCGGGGAGCCGAGGGCCTCCCCGCCTGCCCTTCCCTGCCCTTCCCTTCCTTCCCCATGGGCCGGGGGGGCCGCTCTGCCTGCAGGGCCCAAACCGGTTCCTCCGGGGCCTGCGTGCACGGCGGGGGCCGGGGTAGATCCCGGCAGCGTGGCCGGTCGCGTGGGCCCTGCTTGGGAACGCAGCCCCTCGTTTCGGGGCTCCGCGGGCAGCTCTGCAAACCTGCAGCAGGAGCGGGGCCGTGTCCCCCAGCCGAGGGGGTGGCCGTGTCCCCCCGCCCCGGCAGCGCGGGGCCCTGCGGCAGTGGGGTGCTCCCTGCACCACCCACAGCCAAGAGGTGATCTGAGAATCGCTGCTCACACCAGACCAACTGCTGACTGTCCGCAGGGCAGGAGCCGACCGGGACCCCTGCCCGGCCGGCCGGGGCCAGGGGGGACGCACCCGGACCTCGTGTCGCTGCTCATGGTGGGGTCCAGGCTGGATCCGTCCCCATCCCCAGAGCGCCGGGGGTCCCCGCAGGCAGCCCATGGGAGGCCTGGCAGCGGGGTGGCTCTCGGAGGCGCCGAAAGAGCTTTGGACAGACACGACATCCCCGATGGCTCTCTGGCTGCCCGCTCAGCGGGAGTGATCGTGTCATTCCAAAGCCGTCTCTCTCCGGGGGACAGATCCCGCCCGGGCACCGCTCGCCCCTGCCAGCAGCAGGGGGCCAGGGAGAGCCCGGCGCGGGCCGGTGGCGGCTGGAAGCCCAGGCAGCATCGCACGACCTGCACCTCCCCGGTGCAGGTGGCCACATCCACGCTGCAGCCGGCAGCCGGGGCCGCCGCTCGGCACGCTCGCCCTGGCGGTTAGTCCCCAGGAAGCGAGCTGCTATTTTTAGCCATCAGGGGTATGAGACCGCCGGAGAGCCCCCATCCCAACCCCCTCCTTCTCCCAGCGTGGCCCCCACACGTCGCCCTGGCCCCACGGAGGGGTCGGAGCGGGGCAAGCGGCTCTTGCCCAGTGCCAGGCCTGGCGCGGGGCGGTGGCGGGCAGCGGGGTGCACGGGGCGAGGCGGAGGCGGGAGCGCGGGTAACGAAACCCCAGGGCAGCTGGGCGCAGCGGGGACAGCTGCTTTTGGGATTCCGTTGCCCGCGCCAACGCCGTGAAGGGACGGGGACAGGGGCCCCCGCCACGCCACCCCGACCCTGGGGCGGCCGGCGGGCCAAGGAGGGGAGAGAGGGCGACTTACCGCCGGGGACGGGGGCGGAGGAGCTGTGCCGGAGCCGCAGCCAGGCCGGTTGTGGCCGGGGGGGTCCGCAGAGGCTGGGGGAGGGGTCGTGGG